TCCTGGGTTCAACTCCGCCCAGTGGCCTTTCTGTGTGGAGTCTGCATGTTCTCCCCGTGTCTGCGTGGGTTCTCTCTGGGTTCTCTGGCTTCCTCCCACAGTCCAAAGACATGCTCTGGGCATCAGGTTGATTGGTGACTCTAAATTGCCCGTAGATGTGTGAATGTGAGTGTGAATGGTTGTATCTCTGCGATTGGCTGGCAACCAGTCCAGGATGTACCCTGTCTCTTGGCCGAAGTTGGCTGGGATGGACTCCAGCCCCCTCGTGACCCCGAGTGCAGGATAAGCGGTTTGATGATGGATGGAACTTTTTCTTATTAGTACTGCTTACTTAATATAACTCAGATCTTTAAGTTCACATACTATTTATTGTCCACATACTTAATCATTTAAAGTTAACTATACTAATGTTCCCTACAGTTACATGAGTTAAAACTCACTTATTTTCATTATTAACAACTTAAAATTAATGAGCGACTTTACGTAGAAATTTTTTTAGTTTCCTGACTTTTTCAAGTAAAGTCAACTTATTACATTTTACAGTGTAGTTGTAAGCCTTCATTAAGGTCAATTAAACACTGGTCTATGCAGGCCTTCAGTCCTCCCCATGTTTGTGGAAAATAAATTAAATAATAACAATTTTAAATAACCCTTTAAGCTTCAGCCTTATATTGAATTGAACCTCGGAAACATTTTGCATAGTGTTGAGTTTATTTATATTTTTGATCTAAAAAATGTATATTATTCTGTTTCAAAGATGTTGCTGTATTTGTATTGAATTTACTTATTTATCTTTTGATTTATACATTCATCTATCCATCCATCCATCCATTGTCAAACCGCTTATCCTGCACACAGGGTCACGGGGGGGCTGGAGTCCATCCCAGCCAACTTCAGGCGATAGACAGGGTCGCCAGCCAATCGCAGGGCAACACAGAGACAAACAACCACTCACACTCACATTCACACCACTACGGGCAATTTAAAGTCCCCAATTAACCTGATCCCCAGAGCATGTCTTTGGACTGTGGGGGGAAGCCTGAGAACCCGGAGAGAACCCACGCAGACACGGGGAGAACATGCAGACTCCACACAGAAAGGCCACTGGGCGGAATCGAACCCAGGACCTTCTTGCTGTGAGGCGACAGTGCTAACCACCACGCCACCGTGCCGCCCCTACATTCATCTATTAATATCATCTAAAATAATCACATACTGTTAAGTTGTTGTGATATTTTATTAAATTTACGCTTCATGAAAAAAGTTTTAAGAAATGTTACTCCTATTGGAGGGATACCGCTTGTCCAACGTGTCTTCTTTGTTTACGTACATCCTGTCAAACATTTGCCTGCAACTGTAACGCATCCTTGTTGTGCCGTCCTTTCAAGTGTTGCACGATGCTGTAAAATATAATGTCTAAAGTTAACCGCTAAGTCCTGAAAAGGGCATGAATACATACATTAAGGTACAGCAATGAAAAGGTACATACGTTTGCTATTGAAATGCTCTCGCGCACACTACCGAGACACTCTTAACTAAGAGCATCTCACTAGTGAGACGTGCACGAGTGTTTCATTAGTACGTGTAGCGGTTGTACCCTTGTGCGTTGTTTTTTTCAATTTCCACCAGGACACAGACCACATTTGGGTCCAATTGGCCGTTTATTTCCCAACGTTAGACACCCTTGCGAACATACAGGAAGTTAGCCTCCTCACAAAGTACCTCTTGGCATCACTCGTTATAACTGTTAAACGAAATAAACAACAAGAGCTAGTTGAATTAGCATTGGCAAGGGAACTTTCTACGGCCAACTTACCGGTTACACACCCTGCAGCAGACTAACTTTAGCTACAGGGTGTCACACCCACGTCCGCAGGGACCCACTAGAGGGCACCCACGTGACACCCTGTCATGATTTGTAGTGATGGCAAGTGGAATCAAACACCTGTGGTGCGTTATACGGTGGCCCTGAAGTGCAAAACACAACGGCAAATAGGAACGCACAACGCAAATAGGAAAACACAACGAAATTAACTCCTTGCGGAAAGGGTGGGGCCTTATTGCAGAGGACAGACCCTTCTGATTGGACAGACGGACTGTCTGTCGGCCTTTTAACAGGAAATGATGCAGGGCTCTCATGTCACGCATTGAGTGAGACTGCCCCGCACTCCCGCCACACATCCAATTCCTCACGCCAAGGAATCGGACTCCGGTCCCCGAGTCGTGTCGGCCATAGCGTCCGCGCCACCCCCCCATTTTATTACACCTATATATAATTGAACAACAAAACACTGGTAAAAAAATGGTGAAACACTAGTATATGGCGGCAAATCACTGTCAAAATTTGAGAGCGCGTAAATCAAACGTCCGCGAGCAAATCTCTGTCTTGCGCGAGCTATTTGCTCGCTCGCGGGAACGTGAACTTCGTTGCTCGCGATCTCTGCTCGCGCTCGAAGGTGTTTTCTACACGCTCGTTGTTCTTTTTGACAGTAAGGAGGCGGAGCCAGTCACCATGGTGTCTACATCTGATTGGTTACAAACCCCGTCTTTGGTTTGGCTGGAGTGATGCATTCACACAACTATAGAAGCCCATTTCCGCACTGAAGAAAGGAGATAGAAAGTCGAAATTATGAGATAAAACGTTGTCAAAACACAAACGATATATTTCACATTTAACATTGCGTTACTGCCAAATGATATCCTTGGAAAAGTTATTGTGGATTGAATTTCACAATGAATTTTTCTCTAAATGTTTGAAAAAGTGACATGTGAATATTGTACCAAAACGGCGCAGGATTTTAGAATGTGCAACATTTTACAAACGGCGCCCCATAGTGTCGGATCTTCACCTATTTTATCTCCTCCCGCTGCGGCTCTATTTCCCTCCTGCACCGCAGTCAGGCAGGAAGTGTTTTCTATTTCAAGCTGTTGCTCCTCTCATTTGAAATGATGCCGCATCCTCCATGATATGGGGATGCTCCCCAACCTTTCATCCATCTTGCATGTTGCAAAGAGAAGTAGAGTTTTCCTGGGAAGCCCGTCACATGTGCCAAACAACCCGACGCTCCTTCTCTGGCAAACAAGCAGCTTCCTCCGAGGCCATTTATGCATCGTTTGATTCAATTTCATCTACCACAAAACTGTAACAACAGCAGAATCAATTACATTTTTATTCCTAATGGCGTCGTCCCAAACGCATGCTTCAGGTTTCCATCCTCGCATGGAGCTGCAGAACAAACGTTCTGTCACACGCAGACAGTCCCAGAGGTAAAGCGCCTGGGGCGAGACGTGTGTTTGCCGAGCGCAGCGCTCCACTGCTCTCTAAAGGCCCGTTCATGACAGTGCATCACTTCAGGCCTCCAGGAGACGCTCCTGAGCCGGTGCACTCAACTGGCCGACAGTTTTGTAATTTAATCACTTTCAAAACCCACTGGGTTGAATCAGAAACATGGTTGTCAAGGTAAACACGAGGCTTTCAGCACGGCTGTGTACATTTTACTGCCTTTTTTGGGGGGGGGATTTTACTCTCGACTGAGCACCAACACAATGACACTTCTATTCGCATATTTCCATTTACCTCATCGAAACCTTTCACACCGGAGGTATAGTCTCATTTTTTCTTTTCTTTTTCGGGTTTGCAATTAGAGGCGCCTGTGAACTCCCCCAGCAGCATTGTGAAGGCGAGGCACGGCGACGTCTTGGATATTTTAACACCTCTGTCTCTATTCCACTGCACCAGCCGGCAGTTTTAATCATGTGTATGGACTGACTTGGGACAAATAAAGCAATAGAAGTCAGAAACGGGACATAAGGGTCTTAGTGCTTTCTCTACAAGGGGATTGTGAGCCATAATGGTCTGGAAATAACTAGTTTAACCTTTTGTATTTCATAATCTTATTGGTCACATACAGTAAAATATTTCCCTCTGAAGTTTTATTCAAATTGTAAAATAGCTTGGACATACATAAAAAAAAGTACTATACCTGAAAACTAATTATGTCCAGGAGTAAATGTACTTACCTACTTGACACAGCTTGATTGTGTCGATTACTTCTGGATTAAGGGTGCTCAATGGGGTTGGACAGAGGGGCAACACATATTTTGCCATGTTTTACTCATCAAAATATTTTTTCCCATATCAGTCCTACTTTGTGAGTTGTAATTAATATAGTCCTTCACCCATCATTTATTCAAACTTAGGATACTGAAGATTTTTCTTTTTCGCAGAATCTCCAGTCTCACTTCAAGGATAACTTCAACTGACTTTGCAGACAAGGACTGAATGGAAAGAAGGAAGATAGAACGTCTCGTCCAGATAACTCATTCAAATAAGTCCCACCTTCGGGTGTTGTTTTACATAATCCGTACGTCTGAGTGAACGAGTGACAGACATGAACATCAAAGTGGTTCAATTCAAGCCTGAAGTCTCACTGATGGTGAGTCAAGTCAGGGCCTCCTTATAACATCATCTTTGTGAGTCTGTACGTTTGTGTGTGTATATATATATACAGTGTGTGTGTGTGTGTGTGTGTGTGTGTGTGTGTAGCATCATCTTGCTCCTCTGCTCCTGGCTCATGAGCCTTCCTCATGAGCCTTCCAACATATTGTGACAGCATCACTATCACATTATCGTTCCGTTTGAACACATTTGAGAGCAGAGAATGTCATGTTTCATAACCTTTGCGTTCACATACATCTGACAAGTCAAAACAGGGGAGAAAAGATTCCATGAGACCCGCTTTCAAACTGGATTACATATTTATGAGACTGTGAATAGGATATATTCATGGTTTAAGGACATAAGATAACTGAAGAGACGTCGAGCTCTTCTGCATTTTTTGAATATTGAATAAACCATCAGCAGCCTGATACACAACAGCTTGGCGTCACCGGAAATGAGTGGTGGCTTTTATACGCTTCTCTCTACCGTCCTCCGGGTCGCCAGGCGGCGCTGCTGAGCCTGAATGTCACGCTCACTGTCACTCGCTGGCTTGTTTTTCGTGTCACGTGACCGGATGTGCAACTTCAAAACAAGGGTGCAATAACGGGCTCTGTCGGCCGTCGCTTTGTGCGTCGATTAGCTTTATTTTAAAGCTAACTTTTATAAGCGGGAGTGAGAGAAGACGTGCCGGTGGCGCTCTGGCCGACATGGCGGCGCCGCTCCTTGAGTTTGAGACCGAGATGTTTCTGAGTCTGTTTGAATGCGACGGGCTGCTGGTGGTCGCGGAGGGCTTGGGCATAGACCGCATCCTGCTGCAGTTCATGCGCGTTTACTCGGAGCAGGGCAGCCTGGTGCTGCTGCTCAACACCACCACACCGGAACAGGTGAAGAGCACGCGTCAGTGATGGAGGCTGCACGCCTTGTCCCCTCGCTAGTGACGTCACGGCATTTGGTGCCGCGAGGGCGCTAAGATGTAAATAAACCGCTGCTACACACTTAATGACCAGCGACACTCAATGGTGCTTTCGTTAATGTTATTAAACCGAGCCTTACCTGCTTACATGTTTTCGAGAAAGGTTTGTTAAAAAATAGTCACCACACACTTCAACCTGTTTTGAGCATAAACTAAAAAACTGGTCAAATGCATTCCTTCAAGGTCAGATAGCTTACGTTACACAATATGTTTACATTTCATTTCACATTTTGTGTTTGTGGAAAAATTGAGTCATTCTGATGTAGCGTTTCATTAGTAAAATCCCCCCCTGTGCCATCTCGAGATCACACTCACAAGCCAGTTTCTCTATTCAGTTTCTGTTCAATAAACCTTAGTTGCAGCTTCAACAAACTCTTCTCTTGTCTTCTCAGGAGTATTTCACGGAGCAGTTGCGAGTGGAGGGGGTGACCCACCTGCCCAGGACCGTGACCAGCGAGGTCAACAGCGCAGAGCGCTACAACGTCTACACCGAGGGAGGCGTGCTGTTTGTCACCAGCCGGATCCTGGTGGTCGACTTCCTCACCGACCGCATCCCTGCTCATCTCATATCAGGTCAGACTGATGGGAGCCCACGTTTGATTTTCACGCAGTGAGATTTGTTTGGTTACTTTGCATTTGCGTCCTTTGATATCACGTCAGTAATCACTCATTTGTATGCACCCGCTTACTGTTATTGTTTTAAATGGCCTTGGAGGATTCGAGATCGATCATTTATACCAGTGGTCCCCAACCACCGGTCTGTGGGCCGTTATTTTGAAAATTGACCGGCTTTTCTACTAATTATGTGCGCTCGTCCCTCTGACAGATTCCCCACACGTCACCAGGCGTTTTTCTTCACGTTTACAATTGTCCTCCTACCGTGCACGTGCACAGCAGTTTCACCCACCAGCGAACACACAGCGTGCGACTACTACACCCTCGCCCCCGTCGGTCCAAGAGTCTCAAGCTCCTTGGTTGTAAATATATTAGTAAATGATTTCTAAAAAGTGTACAAATTAGCAAGCATTTAAAGTTAAGTCGGTTAAGGTTATTAAACAAAAAACAAATTGACTCGCTGGATAACTTTTATTAAGTGATCTCGTATTTCTTGATTACACTTTCAGTACCGAGCCGGGACCCTGACTCTCTCTCCATCCCACAGGCATCCTGGTGTATCGGGCTCATAAAATCATAGAGTCGTTTCAGGAGGCCTTCATCCTTCGTCTTTACAGACAGAAGAACAAGACCGGCTTCATCAAGGCCTTCACTGACAAAGCCACGTCCTTCTCCTCGGGCTTCTGCCAGGTGGAGCGTGTGATGAGAAACCTCTTTGTCAAGAAACTCTACCTTTGGCCTAGGTAAGAACGAATGATGTAAACCTTTTTTCACAGCAGACATTTAGACGTGTTGGGCGGGAAATGCTCACGCGTCTATTAAATAAATCTATATAAATATTAAAGACCGGGATTCTTCGCTCCTCCTTGTTCTCCTTTTTGGATTTCAGGTTTCAAGCATCAGTGAACACGGCACTGGACCGCCACAAGCCGGAGGTGGTGGAGCTCCACGTGTCACTGACGCCTGCCATGAGGGCCATCCAGAGCTCCATCCTGGATATCATGAGCGCCTGTCTGAAGGAGCTGAAGCGCTACAACCCCACTCTGGAGGCTGAGGACCTCTCAGTGGAGAACACGCTAGGCAACGCCTTCGAAAAGGTTCGTCACTAATGACACGGATTAGGAGGCCTTGGTGAGGTTTTGATGTTCGATCAAAAAAAATGAATCCGCTTCCGTTCGGAAAAAAACGGGCCTAAGATCATGAAAAGGCCTCCAAGCATGTCATTCCTGTGGCCGATGTTTTCCTTTAAATGGCTATCGATGCTAAATAGCGAGATGATTCTCCTGGATTTGGGAGTATCTATTGAATTTGCACCCAAAAATGCTAATAATGTGTATTTTTAAAACACAACCTACAGTAGTCGCCTTTTTACACGGGACGCATATCATCAGATCTCCCCTGTTTAATAGTAAGTAAGTAAGTAAGTAAGTAAAAGTATTCTGTGTCATTGTTCACAAAGACGATCTTTGCAATCATTACAAATAACAGGAAAGCCTCGTGCTAAATCAGACTTTTAGCAACACACTTCCTGTTGGGGTCCAACAACTGTTGTTGAATTGGGTTTTAAGGTTGTATTTTTCTGACTCCCATCCAGACCATCCGTCACTACCTGGACCCCCTGTGGCACCAGCTGGGAGCCAAGACCAAGGCCCTGGTCCAGGACTTGAAGGTGCTGAGGATCCTCCTGCTCTACCTCACACAGTACGACTGCGTCACCTTCCTCAATCTGCTTGAGTCGCTGCGCTCCAGTCAAAAGAACTTTGGATCCAATTCAGGTAAACGAGAACTTAAGAACTCTTAAGTACTGATACCTAATCATTGTGGTTAATCAGCTTTTATCCATGTTTGATCGCATGCCCCTGTTTTTGTAACCATCAGGGTGGTTGTTCCTCGACTCCAGCACCTCCATGTTTATGAATGCCAGGGCCAGAGTGTACCGCATCCCCGAGAGCAAGAAGAAACTCAAAGTGGGCGCGGAGGAGGAGAAACCGAAGACGTCCTCTGCATGCGGTACCTTCCCAACAGACCGATTAAGAGTAGATGTCCGCCACGATGTCTGCTCGCACGGGTAATGACTAAAGGCTGTGTGTGTGTGTGCGTGTTTCAGGGGTGAAGCGGGAACTGGTGCTGGAAAACAGCCCCAAGTGGGAGGCTCTGACTGAGGTCCTGCAGGAGATGGAGAGGGAGAACAAGAGCTCTCAACAGGAACCAGGTCAGAGCTCTGTTCTGTTAGAGCGCTGTGCAGCGGTGAAGGATATCTCTGCTACATGGATTTGCATTTAATGATCTCATCAAAACGCTCTTTTAGTTTTTCAAAAAGGTTGTTTTGTCGATCTACATGTACACGGGGAAACATTGGATCCCCATATTTAATTCACTTTGAGATGAAGAACCAGCCGCGAGGCTCCGCCCACGCGCTGCTGACACTTTGTGAAGTCATCTTCCTGGTGTGCTGGTTTGCCCTGGTCCACTGCTTCAGGCCCAGAGGTACAGTGAATCTGTCTGACTGTCCCTCAGGTCGCGTGCTGATCTGTGCCAGTGATGACCGGACGTGTGCCCAGCTTCAGCAGTACATCCGGCGCGGCTCTGACCGGATGCTCAACCGACTGTACGTGCGCACAATCGGGAAACGGGACTCTTCTGCGGCCGCCTCAATGGATTTTGAGTCGCACAAAAAGGGCCACGGCTGGCCGAGAAATGGAGCCAAGGGGAAGGAGCCCGCACAGAAGAAAAAGTCCACCAAGAGTAAGAACAGGCCGTCCTTGACCCTGACCCAGATGATGGGGAAAGACGAGATGGACAAAGCTGCGGGGACGGGCAGCAGTGGAGATGAGGGTGACCCGATGGAGGATGAGGAGGAGCAGCTGCAGCTGGATTTGTCGTCGGATGCCTACTACGGTGTCCTGAAGGAGCCGCTGACCGTCCTCCACCCGCTCAAAGGTCTCACAGACCCGCACAGCTTGACGCGGGTGCTGCACGAGGTGGAGCCCAGTTTTGTGGTGCTCTACGACGCCGAAGTCGGTTTCGTCCGCCAGCTGGAGATCTACAAAGCCAGCCGGCCTGGGAAGAGACTGAGGGTGTATTTCCTCATCTATGGAGGCTCGACAGAAGAACAGAAGTACCTGACGGCGCTGTCCAAGGAGAAGAAAGCCTTCGAACACCTGATCAGGTCAGAAGCTGTGTCCTTTCTTCTCTGGCCGCCGTGGGAGTATCTCTTGATGAGCGTTTCGTTTCCTATGCGTGTGTTTCTCTGCAGAGAAAAGGCTACCATGGTCATTCCCGAAGAGAGGGAGGGGCGAGGAGACACCAACCTAGACCTCGCTAGACATTTAGAGCCTGCCAACGCCACCACCAACACCCGCAAAGCAGGCACGTCCATTTTATGTCATTGTCATTTTTGAAAGGACGAGATTGGTTTGTGTTTTTTTTTTTCATCCTCTTTCCGTTACTTATACTTGTATAAGAAAGCGTCTCACTGTGTTTGACCAATCACCAGGAGGCCAGGAGCAGCCCCAAGAGCCCTCCCGCGTCATCGTGGACATGCGGGAGTTCCGCAGCGAGTTGCCCTCCCTGTTGCACCGCCGCGGGCTGGACATCGAGCCCGTCACCTTAGAGGTGGGGGACTACATCCTGGCACCGGACACGTGCGTGGAACGCAAGAGCGTCAGCGACCTGATTGGCTCGCTGCAGAGCGGCCGCCTTTACACCCAGTGCCTCTCCATGACCCGGTACTACAAGAAACCGGTGCTCCTCATCGAGTTCGACCCGGCAAAACCCTTCTCCCTGATGGCCCGGTCCGATTTCCGTCATGAGATCTCGTCGAACGACGTTTCCTCCAAACTCACCTTGCTCACCTTGCACTTCCCCCGGCTGCGTATACTGTGGTGCCCCTCCCCGCACGCCACAGCGGAGCTTTTCCTCGACCTGAAGCAGGGTCGCTGCGAACCCGACGCCGCCGCCGCCCAGGCGGTCACCGCCGAGTCGGACATGGTGGCTGAGTCGGCAGAACTCTACAACCCCGGACCTTATGACTTCCTGTTGAAAATGCCCGGGGTCAATGTGAAGAACTACAGGGCCGTCGTGAAGAATGCAGACAACCTGGCGGATATGTGCAAACTGGGCCAGGACAAGCTGGCGGAAATACTGGGGAACGCTAACAACGGCAGGTTGCTGTATGAGTTCCTGCATAACGTCGCCGATGTCCCCGCTCCCGTGCAGAAAGCCAAACACACATGTTTGTAGTACACGTCTGACATTTGTATCGCAGGAGTCATCCAAAGTGAAAGGTGTTTTATATTAATGTATAGAAGGAACTGAAATAACACTTCTTTCTATTGTCTGAAATTTAGCTTTTATTAAATTTGTTATAACATTGAATAAATGCATTGTTTTATATTCCCGTTGTTTAAAAATAAAGCTTTCTGTAACATGTGTTTTTGAACTCTACGGGGTACATAGTGGAATGTGAAGCTGTGGTTGGGGGACGGTGCCTTTTACTCCAGTGTTATTCAGAGGAGGAACGACCACAAACCAGTGGTCAAGAATTGTAGTTGACGCCGCTTTGATGGACATTTGTGTCTAGTTTTACCATCACTTGAGTATTTTATGCAGTAGATATTCAAAGGGTTTCTTGCTGAAGTACTGAACTACACTCGACATCACCCATTGCAGAGCCTGGCGGTGCTCCTGTGATCCGTAGGAAGTACTTTCCCTGCAGCGAATGATCAGTTACTGCAGCACACAGGAGTGATCTGGCTTTACCTTTCACATTTAACTTTGTGCATCTTTTTCTGAATGCCAACGTGTAGTTCCACGCATGTGCATTTGTTTGTGCTATGAGGTAAAGGTTGAGGCAAAGGTGTCTGACTTTACTGTCCTCGGTGTGAATGCAGTACTTAAGCTACCAAATGCACGCGACACGGGAGAGAATCATCTTCATGCATGACTCCCTGTGGCATCGTGAATGAGGTCTGCGCGAGAGGACAACGACCCCTCCGAGGCGTCCTAAAGCGCAGCGTCATTACGTCACTGCAGCCCGAAGCCTTCGCAGCCATTTTACTCCGCGGAACAAACTTCCACCTCTCGGCTAGTTGGGGGGGCAGGACCTACAACACACACAAGACCACCCCGCCGACACCGACTGCTGTCTCAATGTGAACCGGAGCTGCGACAGATTTGGACTCCCGAGTCTCCGCAAATCGGTGAGACCGCGCGCCGCTGTCTTGTTTTTAGCATGTTAGCGTTAGCTAAACCGAGCTAAGCAGCGTCAGTTAAGAGGCTGCTGTTGGGGAATTGTTGGCTGATACGCGGACGGAGACCGGAGACGAGGCTGTCTGTCTGTCACCGCGCCGGGAGACGCGGGCGGTTCCACCGCGACAAACCCTGAGAGTTTGTTCATTCGTCTCATTCCGTCAAACGAAGTCCGCGTCATTCGAGGTGACGTTATGCGTGTTAGCGCTCGCGCACCTGTCAGGTTTAAAGTTACGTTAGCTAGCCGACGTTAGCTTGTCCCACAACCACCATCACACAGACACGCCGGGCAGTGATAACTTTTCCTCCCAAGGAAGGTGTGTTATTTCGCATTTAGTTGTCACGTTGTTATAATGTGAACACTGCGGGTCTCGTTGAGCCATTTCCTCCGGAGCCCGGGATGCTCTCTGGATGCTGCGGCATCCGGACAGCAAAGCTCCTCCCGGCCGTTCAGCGACCATCCGATGGCGTGAAATGATTGACGTCAGGTAATAGTGTGTGTGTGTGTGTGTGTGTGTGTGTGTGTGTGTGTGTGTTATGCAGACGGCTGGGACCCACCCGGTCAAAGTCTGTCTCTGTGAATCATCAGCGTTAAATGAGGCACTGCGCTTATGGCACGATGGGGTCATTATGCCCGACAAGTAGTTAAAACATCGGTTTGTAGGTCGATTGTCTTCACCTCACATTAGAGTTTCCGTATCTGCCTCCATGTTGGTGGAAATAACAATTAGACCAAATATTACAATGTGTGTGTGCATGTTGCTGCAGTACAATCAGAGTTTTCTCTCCCACTTCGCATCCGACACTCCCTCAGGAAACACTTCCACCAGTTCAGTCTCATTTGTTTGTGTTCCTCAGAGAGTACTTTGCATCACCGGCCTTAACAAGTCTTCATTTCAGGCTGCTGCTCGCTGTTTGTCTATGTTACCTCTTCTCTGACGGGTTGATCCTTTCCACACTGTTTTTAAGGAAAGATCTTTCTCAGCGAAGTCCACGAGGACGGGAAGGAAGGAAATGACACCAGTGGGAGAAGTGCACAACAGTAACTCGGGTGGTGTCGTCATTACGGTCTTCTCTCTGGATAAAAGAAGAGATTTTTGTTGGAACCAGACGTGGTCTATTTGAGGCCCAGAATAGTTCAGCCTGGTTCTCACGCTGTGTGCTTCATGCGTGTGCATGTGGTATGTATGTTGCGGTCAATTGCAGAACGAATGGTTTATAGGGCTACTTCGTCATTTGCGATGCTGGAGATCCAAAATCGGATTCATTTGGATGTGAAGCCTTCATTCATAACCGAATGTTGTCACATAAGGTGACGTGCATTGCCTTGAACTACTCCTTATTAAACCAATGTGTTTTTTAAACAGAAAACCAGACCCCGTGACAATTTATGATTTATTAGCTGCGGTTTTCAGCTATCTCAAGCTGTCGTTCAGAGAAGCACAATAACGACGTACAAACAGCAACCAGGAATTGACTCAGCTGAGCTCAGCTGACCTCACTTTGAGCTCCATTTCTGCCAGATAAAAAAAGTCTTTGCTTCAAGACTTGAAGGCACACGCATTTAGTCCCTTGTCGTTAGGAACAACAAGGATTATATAATCTACAACTCCCCTCGAGACTGCAGTCGCGACATTTGGGAACATTGTTCCCGGGCTCCCCGAACGTGAAGCCTGTTAGTTTAGTGCTGGAATGAACAGTTTTGATTGGTTGATTCCATTGATTTAAATTGCAGGATGCCGAATTTTAGATGAATTGTGCAGCCGTAGTGCTTGTGGCTACTTTATCATGTGAAGGATTTGCATATTGGTAGTGAAAGTGTGGCGGTATCTTATCTCTCTTGTCTCTATTCCATCAAGCTTCTGAACTATTCACCATTTGTTTTGATGAAAACCAGATTGTGAAATACTGGTTTTGATTTGGCATCAGGAATTCACACTGGCACACGTGGTTCTGTTTAGATGTACAAGACAATCAGACAGATGCTTTCACTGCTGCGGAAAGTGAACGCCCCTCACCTGCACGGCGTATGTCTATGCCGAGCCGTTTGTGAGGGTTCAGGGAGAAAGAACCGATACCATCGCTGCCCTGCTTAAATGTTGACTCGAATGATTCCCTAGCTGGACTCTGATCGTCTGGTGGCACAGAAAATACGGGCCAGATGAAACCCCGGCGGGTTTTTGCGTCCAGTTAGTCCTAGAATCCAGCCTGCTTGATGTGGCACGGTCTGAGATGGCAACCTTTTAATTCAGCTCCGCGATAATCATCGGTAATGTGGAGGAATACCTCTAAGCCACAATCTGGGTACTTGCAGCGAGGGCGCAGGCAGGTGGCCCGGTGAGTCCGTTTGTTGCCTCCATCAGTTGAATATCCAGCCGGCCTCTTTGACTTTTCGGGGCACGTTCAGGTTCAGCGGCGACACTCTCAAGCGGCGCTCGACCGACACTCCAGTGGTTCGAAATACCGGTTGATTTATTTTGACAATAATCATCTGTGTGCAAGAAAGCCGAGCCGGTGCCGACGGGATGTGCGCGTTGTTCTCTTTGGTTTGATCGTTCACCAAAGCGTGGGCCGCTGCAACGACCCGACACGTCACCTCTGGGATCCCGAACACGCCGAGGGGCCCAAAGACGGCAGCGCTCCTCGCAGCGGGATGGTTTGGTGCCGCGGTGCTGACGTCGGTGTGTGCTGCATCCATCTCCCCTTTGATGAAACACATGGTGCCATTGAGGGAGCACAGCAACAGGCCATCTGGACCGGCCCTTTGATTCTGCTTTTCATCAGCCGCGACCCTTGTCGGCTCCTCCTCGTTTCTTATCTGCAGCCAACTTTCGCCAGCTCGTCCTCCCACGATGTAGTAGCCCGTAGAACTGTCATTCCATAACTGGCAAATATCAGAAATGTCAGTTCTGCGTGTCAGTAAATGGACTGGTGAATAAAACAGTAATGTGTTTATACGAAGCACGTGTCTGAGAGTCCTGAGAGCTTCTGTGTGATTGTTATTGTGAGAGTGTCGCTCTCTCTCTGCAGAGCGATGCTGCATTACAGGTCTTGAGTCATCAGTAAGGAGAGTTCCATAGAGACCCGGCAGGTTTTCCTAGCAGCCTGTGAACATCAGTAGTCAGACCTGGAGGAACTCATCATCTGTTTATTCTCCACTCACTGATCCAAGCAACATTGGTGTCTGGTTCAGTACCGTGTTTTCATGTGCTTTTGTATCACAATTCTTTAATGGATTGAGGTGGTTGGTTTAGTATCACATGGTAAATGGTAAATGGACTGTACTTGTATAGCGCTTTTCTAGTCTTCTGACCACTCAAAGCGCTTTAACACGACATGACATCATTCACCCATTCACACCCATTCACACACTGATGACAGGAGAACCATACACAGTGACACCTGCCATCAGTCAGGAGTAGTGACTAGTGTAGTCGCAGCTACAGGAGCAATGTTGGGTTAAGTGTCTTGCTCAAGGACACAACGGCATGCGGGTTAGCCGGGCCTGGGATCGAACCGACAACCCTCTGATTGGAGGACGACCGTGCTCCCCACTCACCCACAGTCGCCTCACATCTGTTTATTTTTGTGCGTTGATTGAGTGTATTTGTAGGATTCTTTTGTGTGTGTGTGTGTGTGTGTGTGTGTGTGTGTGTGTGTGTGTGTGTGTTCATCTTGCTTTCTGTAAGTCTGTAGCTTGACATCTTTCAAAATAAACTGCATCTAGAATTTCCAATGCCAACAGTTATTCTCGGTGGATAAACCATGCGTGGCTGGGTGGAGCCTGAAGGGAGTGCTGCCTACACAAACTCCCCTTAGAAACAGAAGATAAGACATTACAGGACACGGAGGTCCTGCTGCATTTGTGATCTTCATGTGATCCTCTGTCTCTCCCACCAGGTTTGACTCCATGGCTTAGTGTGGCTCTCCACAGCCGCTACCCACAAAGTGTGTTTCCTCTTGTATCGGCTTCCCCAGGTGGGCATGAACTCATCCGCTGAAAGACTATAATAACTATTGTTTCTACAACCACTAGTGCACAAAGGCTGCCATGCCGTCTCCTAGTTGGGCCTCTCCAACACGTTTAACAGGTTTTGATTCGCTCTGAAATATGTTGTAATTAATTCCCTCATCATCACTCTTTCTGTATTTGAATACTTCCTTAAAGTTGAAACCAATATTTTCAAACCTTCTTTTCAAAATATGTAAATGGGAATAAAGACGTGGTCAGTTTATTCCATCCCATTAAACATCCAAGCTGTTGACTTTTAATTGGATGACAAAGTGTGGATGACACATAGTTACATCATGTAGCTACGGATGTCAGGCCCATAAAAAGGGAAATCAAGTGCCGCTTATCTTTCAATCGCAGCTCTTCTTTGTTGGAGAAACTGAAGTCAAGATTATGCTGCAGTGGAGAGTGAAATCCAGCAGCTAAAGTTCGTTTACTTTCACGGAAAGACAACGAGAAGGAGGTTTGGTCTCTTTCCAAAGGCTCTGCCTGGCCTAGAAAAGTCCGAGCACAGGATGCATCCTTTGATTGTTATCTAAAGGAAGTACACGCTGCAGAGCAGGTCGCTGCCTGCTCACTGAAGATCTGCTACTGCCGTCCATAAAGTGGAGGCGACACTCGGCTTCGTGCCCCCGGCACAAACCGCAACAAGGGTTCATACAGGATGGACCACAGCTCTAAAAGAACAGTTCTAAATGTATGCGCTTATTGGTGCCCTTATCATGTGAAACGAATGAATGCTTTCCTCCCCACTTTCTATTACCACAGAGATATTAGGATCTTCTCGTTGAGAATGTTAAGCGGAATCTGCTGTGACCACAAGTCGGAAAACTGCGTTACACGCCAAGAGACGATGAAACACGGCCTCTGGGACGTGTTGTGTCAGGACACATTACATCAGCCTTCAGCGACCACAATGGACAACGCTGAGACGTGTCCGCGGTCTCACTGGGCCGTCTGCTTCTGGCACTTTTAGGACCTACGGGAAGAATAAAAGCAGCCGTAGGAACGAAGGGCTCCTCGGCCAAGAGCAACACATCAGGGCGGTTGGTAAAGAGCGCCGAGGTCCCGCGGGTTCTGCCCCAGCGTCTGCTGCTTAAGAGGCCGCTCGGAAACCCAACTGTTGGTTTTGCACCCCGTCATTTTTCCGCCCCCCGCCCCCCCCCCCCTGTTTGAAAACCGCCAAAGTGACGTCACATTACAGATTATGTCTGGGCGGACGGAACATTCTCCGTCGAGCCGGGCGGCGGTTTGAAGCGGTTATTCGGTGTGATTTTGCAGAACATTGAACATTTTGAGCTGCAACTGGGGCCCAAAGGAAACACCACCCGCAGCACTTCACCAGTCGGGTGAAGCAGTCGCACCAACGGGATGATGGCTGTTGTTACCGATGAGGAGCCCCGTAAACCTTCCTCTCTGAGTCAGACGCCAACTCTTCACTGTCTCTCCTTGTTTTCTGGTATCCACAAAGGTAGCGGCAAACCGCCACCAACAGGGGGCACAGACCCATAACCGCCCCCCACCCCGCCCCCAGATGGAGCTCCCGGCCTCTTACGGGCAGCTTGGAGCAGAGGGGGATTGCGAGATGTCGAGTGTGCTGCTGCCAAGTCCCCAGAGCGAGGCGGTCACCCACGAGATGGAGGAGCTGTCGCTGCAGCCGCTGCCTGCGCTCGGCGAACGCAACGATGGTGAGCACGCGGCGCCCCATGGACCTGAGGGAGGGGGTGGGGGGGGGGGGTGGTGTTGTCAAACAGGCCCCCCGGTGTGAAAGAGTGAACGAGCGCAAACTCCACTGAAAACAAATTCCACATACAATCAGCCGTATAAACATCATGCCCTCAATACCTGCATGTCCTACACGATAATGATGCATGTAAACACGCAAACAGGCACGGAACAATAAATTCAACATGGGCCATGAAAGTGGGTGAAATACCCTCATCCTTTTTGTGCAACATTATTCCAACAACAGATGCAGATTGCAGCTTTGGCTTCATGTTAAACTCCCCACGTTGGTGTTGTTCCAGCGACTGACTGACTGATGGATGGATATGTGATCTCCAGACTTTGATAGTGGAGCGATAGGTGTGTGGGAGGGGGGGGGGGGATTTGCCAGTTCCTAATCACGGCTCAGATAAGTGATCTGATGGGTGCAGTCGCTTATAGAGTGAGATACAGATGACGAAAGCCGAGTGTTCAGCTTGGCTGTGAGATTGAACACTTTGCTGTATATTTGTGGCTGCTGGAACGTTTACAGAAGCAGCAGCCGCTCATCATCTGTGCAGTGAAAACACACGCCTCATACTTTCCACCCACTGAGTGGGTCTCACGTGTTGGTTCCAACGCTCAAGTGTTTAATCTGTCTGCCAGCGTGGTCGGACTGAGACCACTCAGGAGGTCGGAGGTCAGGGGGCGGAGAAGGGCTCCGTCAGCAGAGCGGGGCGTCATGAGAGTCTGCCCAGTAGGAGATTAAACAAAATCAATATTATTATTGATGACGGCTGAGAGCCTGCTAACAGGACAACAAATTAGATGTAATAGTATCTATGTATTATATTATATTATACCTCAAGATGCTACAACAAGACCCATTTTCATGCCAGCCTGTGAGTCCTCTATTGAGCCGGCCTGTCACTGCATCAACAGCTCGTCACGTCGTCCACTACTCTCACCTCGGCTTGCTAAGGTCACAGGTCGGCATGTGCTGGTCGGCTTGCTAAGGTCAGGGGTCGGCCTGTGCTGGTCAGGCTGAGCAGCATTTCCCCGAGGAATTTAGAAAATGCTGCTGACTGGAAGTCGATCACCTCAAGCAAACACGTCCCCCTCCGCATCGCTTCTTCCCAACTATTTACTGGTTAACTGAGACATGAGAATCTGTTCAGAATTCTTGTGTTTTTCTGGCCATTTGTCAACATAGAATCAAAGAATTGCACCACTCTTGCAAGTGTCTATTATTTTCCAACCAGCCCTCCCACTCGTCCTTCGTATAAAGAGCCAAAGTCTATTTTCTGTCAACGCTTTCTGTAATTGTTTAACCACTGCCCTAGTTTGAGTTTAACCTGCCGCACGCCATGTATGTGAACAGTTCGCACATATTGATGCATGACAGTGTTACATAGCCACCAAGGTGATGTCAGTGGTGGGGGGGGGGGCAGAGGGGATTAAAAATGTGAAGTTATTCAGGCCACCTTCTTCCTGTTGGACCACGAGAGCCATTATTTCCCCATAAGTTTTGACGCATCCTTTCCTGTGAATGGAGAAGTGTGTGTACTCGTAGTCGCCACTTCATTCCTGCAAATCTCCAACTCCTCCCACTGACTGTGACACATCGTCCGCAGGCCTTCTGACAAATAACACCACAGCTATAAAGCACACACAAGTCCATCTGGTCCGCTTACATGCAAAGTGGTGCTTTGTCGTGCTCAGTCAGACTCTTGATGCTCTGAGGTCTGATGTTTAAGTATTTTTAGGCATTAGTACCAGGCTGACTCTGTGCTGAAATGGCTTAATCACCGAGTTGTGTTTTGGACCGCCCTACAGGCCAGGACCCCCAGACGATGGCCTATTCGGAGGTGGAGACCCCGAGTGACCGCTGCACCAGGTTCAGAGCAGGTAAAGAGAGGCTTTAAACGCCGTGAAGCACCATCACATCCTCAAACAGCTACTGACCGCAAACAATAGCTGCTCGAGTTCACTAATGTTCAGAACAATTGGGTCGAGTGCAAAATGCTGCCTATAGAATGATGTCAATGTGTGTTTTTAACCAAATAATTAAAGAACAGGATGTGAGTCATTTCTCAGAAGAAGTCTTTTACATCTCGCAGATCATTTTGTTCCCGATTTTAATTTGCGTTTTTGTACACAATACCTTATGTTTGTCTGCTTCCACTCATTTGTCTTGTAACATCATATGTACGTGTCACCTTTATAATATGATTTAATATTTCATGATAATATTGATTTTGCTTGCAGTCCTGCAGTTGAGGCTTCAGCAGAGGCGAACCCGGGAGCAGCTGGCGGATCAGGGCATCATGCCACGTGAGTACCAGCAGAGTTCACCATCACTCACCATCCCCCTAGAGCTGATGTAGTGGGTGCGCATGCATGAGGACAAACGGGCCTCCGGATGGCTGAGCCAATAAATATGATTGATTTGTCTTTTTTTAAAACGGTGATTTGACCCTTATGAAAATGTAATGTGTTGCAGCTCTGAAGAGCCCGGCAGCGTTCCACGGGCAGATTCGCAGCTTGGAGAGAGCCAGGGTATGTTGGAAATTAGAGCGCTAACACTTCTGGACTCAATTAAGACAATTAGCCTTTAAAAAGACTGTCTGTCTTCCCCCTTTTAGACTGAAAACTTCCTCAAGCACAAGATCCGCAGTCGTCCTGAGCGAGCAGAACTGGTCAGGATGCACATCCTGCAAGGTACTGGAGATTCTCAAATTCTCACTGCAAACACATCTAGTGTTTCATGTGGACCTTTTTGTTAAGCATCATGACCCTCCTATTGGCACCGGACACACCGCTATCAACAAACATGTTTCCAGCCACCAAAAACCTTCCAGCGGCCGTTTTGCAGCGACTTCTCGTCTGTTCCCCCAGAGACCGGAGCAGAGCCCTCCTTACAGGCCACGCAGATGAGGCTGAAAAGGGCGCGGCTCGCCGACAACCTCAACGAGAAGATCGCCCAAAGACCCGGCCCCTTGGAGCTGGTGGAGAAAAACATCCTGCCTGTGGATTCCAGCGTCAAGCAGGCAATCATCGGTGAGAGGCAGCGAGACGGCGATGGTAAAACTATTCATGTTGCCATATCAGACAGCCATTGCTTTCTAGAGCCTTGATGGCCTTTGTCAGGAAGAAGTCGCTCAGCGGTGGAGGGAACCGGAGGCAAATGAGGATGAAAGTGGCCTCGCTTTCCCGCGGTGGGTGATTAGGCGCTGCACTTTGTCCTCGTCTTTTCAGTGGGTCAGGTGAATTACCCCAAAGTGTTGGACGAAGACAGCTGCGATGCGCCGTCGCCGGAGCATCCGCCCGGGCAGGACCCCCACAGCTGTGTCCCGTCTCCCGCCGAGAGCAAAGTGCCCGAGACGCCTTCTCCCGCCCCAGCGCCGCCGATACCCATCTCCCCGCTGCAGGTCAGATACAGGGCCAGTAAAGCACCGGGGCCCGCCATTTTAAACTTCACAACAGTGCTGTATCTGAAGTTGGCCGTTCGCTCTGCCGTTACTGGTTCAGGTCTTCCCCGTCGCCACACAAGCGCCAGCGGACTTTGTGAAAGTTGTCCCTGCGATTGAACAGCCTGCCGGCCGCCCTGCTGCCCCCCCCGCCCAGCCAGTCGTCCCCGCTGCTCCCTTAAAACCCGGCCCGACACTGGTGAAAGTAAGAGCAATTTCCTTTCCCCCCACCTCACCTCGAAACGTAATATTAGAATACCGCTGAACAAATGGCACGTCTCCTTTTTTTTGACAGCAAAGTCAGCAGAAGTCTCCCTCCGAGAAGAGCCGCAGTAAGAAGGGCAAAGAGCCCAAGTCCAGGGTGAAGAAGCTCAAGTACCACCAGTATGTTCCCCCGGACCAGAAGCTGGAGGCCAGTGAAGCCCCCATGGACTCCTCCTACGCCCGGCTGCTGCAGCAACAGCAGCTCTTCCTCCAGCTGCAGATCCTGAGCCAGCAACAGCAGCACTACAACTACCAGACCATACTACCGGCACCCCTCAAGTATGTGTATACAAGCATCAGAACTACTAAGGGCAATATTTGAATTGTAATTTTTATGGCCTGAGTACTCTTGTTTTCAATGACGGCCACCAGCTAGTTTCCAATAACAACTCTTCATCTAATCGTATTAACAACTACCCGGATGTTGCGTCACCAGCTGCTGTTTTGACGAGCTCCCCCTGAACCACGGCTTTGTCAATGGGACGGTCTGCTCCCACTTTGAACAGACTTCCTGTCATTCTTTCCTGGCTCCTGTTTCCCGTTAATGTGATAGTCGTGTATTGTAAATCCCTGACGATGACGTTGTGTTTCTTTTGTGTCTCATTGTGACTGAAGGCCTGTAACTGAGGGTCAGAGCGGCGGCGCTGGCGGCCTGCCAACCTCCATCATGGTGTCTCTGCCCACTGCGCCTCCACCTCCCCCCCTGGCTCCTGCTCCGGCTCGTGCAAACATCTCGCTCTCAAACCGCAAGCCTGGGGTCTTGCCTGCCAATATGGAGGAGATGAAGGTACTTATGAAACCCACTGGTACCAGCACACCATTTGCCCCAGCACCTTTTTAAATGGAAGTTATGATTGTAGGCTAAAAGTATAAATTACCCTTATTTCGGCCGACGCAGCTGTTGACATTGAAGCGCGAGATTTCAGACCACCGGCAGAAGGAATGTTTCTGTAGAAACACAAGAGATCTAACAAGGATTTGCTTAGTCATTAAGAGAAGGTTGATGGAAAACCTGAAGGCACAGGCTTCCAATTTTTCAACTTCAACTCTGCTTTTCTCACATTTTAAATTGTGGAATTCGGGGGGAAAGCAGCAGGATCCGCTCTGTCCGAGGGGAGTTAAGTCTGCCCATCAGCACCCGTGAGGCTCACTAATAACCAGGGTCTCGTTTACTTTGGACCTGCTTCCAGCCGATGTGCTGAGCTCATCAGCTGAATCCATCCAGCAGCACTAGTCCAAAATGTATTCAAGTTTATTTGGTCACATTTGTCTCTGTGTAGGTGGCTGAGCTGAAGCTGGAGCTGAAGCTGCGTGGCCTCCCTGTGTCAGGAACAAAGACTGATTTGATAGAAAGACTGAAGCCTTTCCAGGACAACCCCTGCACCTCTGCTCCTACCACCATTCCCAGCCCTGCCGTCCCCACCCTCTCCTCCATGCCCATGGAGGTCACCACCACCACCACCACCCCTGCCACTTGCACCCCCGCCATAGTCCTTCCAGTCCAGCAGATGGCTCCAGAGAACATGAACCAGACACCGCCGGTCTCACCCGCCCCCGCCGACCGCTCGACCCCCCAGCAGGATCCGAGCATGTCCGAGGCGCTCGCCGAAACACACATGCTGAGCTCTGGCTGGGCAGGTCCGCAGTCCTCACCTCTCTCCTCCTTTCAAGTCCCGGAGGAAAAGGACCGGCGGCTCCATGAAAAGGAGCAGCAGATAGTGGAGTTGATGAAGAAGTTGGAGCAGGAGCAGAGGTTGGTGGAGGAGCTCAAGATGCAGCTGGAGGTGGAGAAGAGAGGCCAAGGGGGCTCCAACGATGATGCTGCATCTCCGAAACCCAATTCTGTGCCGGTCAGGAACCCCGTTCCTGCTCTCCTGAGCTCAAATGTAGTGAAAATGGAGGGTACTGCCAGGTCAAACTGTTCATCCACCGCCGCTACAATCCCCAACTCTATTTTCGGCTCCCAGGCTCTCGCCTCCCTGCCAACAGTAGTCAAGTTGGAGGATGTGACCGTTTCCTCTGGTAAGCCTCTCCAGCTCCAGACCCAGATCCTCACCCAGATCCAGCCCCCGAACCAGCCCCAAAGAATCAACAGCCCTCACCTCCCCTCCCAGTCACGGAGAAGTCCCAAACTCCAAACCCAGCCCCAGGTGCAAGCTGCCGCGCCGAGCCTGCAGCAGTTCTTCATCAGCCACCAAGGCGGCGTGTCCCAGGTGCTGAGTCAGCCTCAGACCTTGTTAACCGCCACGGGCCAAGCTGGGAGCATCCTCCTCCCGCTGTCGCTGCCTGGCGGCTCGACAGCAATCCAGCTGCCCAACGCCAACCTCAGCCTGCAGGTGAGATGGAAATGGAAGAGCGACGTCATATTGTCGCGTTGTTAGTGGTTGCTTGTTACTAGTTAAGACGGCTGAATGGTTAGACTCCCGGTCTTCTTCTCACGCTCCTTCCTCCCCTCTTTCTTCAGCCTGGTCTTCAGGCCACCATCTCAAACCGAGGCTCCTCGGTTTCTCAGCGGCAGACCACAGGGAAGGAGACGGCACCCAACCAGCGGCCATCCCACCACACCCCACTGCTGCAGGTCAGCCCCGACACGAAGCTACTTGCCTTTCTCTGAGAAATCTGTCGCTTTGCCTCGCCTGAAGCAAGAATGCTCATTCGTGACTGTGGCCTGACGGTAATGGTGATGGTAACTAGAGAAGTACCGCTGAAGCTCGTGTGGTCAGTCGGCCTCCACCAATGAGTTTCTCTGATTCAGTGTTTGGACGGTTTGTAATGTCAGAAGCCAAGTTTTAAATTGTCATTATAACTTTGTGTTGTACAACAACTGGCTAATAACCCAAAGATATTTCACTACAATAACATATGATATGATTGATCAGGATATTCAGCAGTATGTCAGGCTTTCTTTTAGCTCAAGCAGTGTCGAGTGACGTTTACTGTCAGTAGCTTGTGTATCATATCTCTTACAGATTGAGCTTATTTCACATTTCCACAGAAATTTTGAATGTGTCTTTTTTATGATCTGTGTCATGTTTCAGTTCCTTTTTTTTCATGATAGTGGTCTTCATCCTTTTGGCTTTGCATTTTTATATCGTCTTGCGAGGAGCACGAAGCTGTACGTGCCTCCTCCCGTGGCCTCCATTTCCTATTGCTTCTTTAAAACAACACTGATGTGTCTGATTGCGTCTTGTGTCCGGACAGACTCTGACTATGTGCAACAACACGACTGAGAAGAGTCCACAGGCTTTCCTGAGAAGCACCCCAGAGAACCGGGTCTCTCCACGAGCTTCACCCAACCCTCTCCTCTCCAGCGGACCCCTCCATAAGGTATCCATGCCTTCACTAGAGGGTTGTATATTCCTGTCCTACACCGGTATCAATTAAGCTGAGAAGAGAGTATTTAGTTTGAACAATTTTCCATCATCAAGAGTTTCTTTTTCATGCAGACATTTCCTAACTCCGCCCACGTGTCCTGCGTCTCTTATTCCTCCAGTCTCCTTCCCCCCAGCCCACTTTCGTCCTTCAACCCGCCTCCCTCGTGACCCAGCTGCCCAAGGCCAGAGAGCCTCCCGGCTACGAGGAGGCTGTCAGGCAGAGCCGCAACTTGCACGTCCACAGTGTTTCCCAGGTTGGAGACGCCACAAACGCACCCGTCAGAGCACAAACCGCTGCTTTCGCTTTTGATTTAGCAGCCTTCAGTCTCTTGACTTTGTTGACTTTCCTCACAGGTTCCCGCGGCAACCAGCCAGCAAATGGATGACTTGTTCGACATCCTCATAGAGAGCGGAGGTAAGGACATGGAGCCGCACGCACCCGGGACGTTTAGGACGAGCAAGACGTTTTCAGTATTGTTTGATTTAAAAGGGCCTCAGTGGTTTTTTTCTTTTTTCTCCTTCCTCCAGAAATCACTCCGTTTATCCACCAGGACCCTCACGTGTCTCACACTAAGACCCTCCCGGTCACCGCAAACATCTGCACGCTGCCGGTCATCACGGCCGTCGCCAGGCCGCCTGCGCACATCCAGCTGGCTCCTCCCCCCGCGCACAGCCCCGTCACGGGCCTCTCCTCGCTCGCCACAGACAACCAGCTGGAGGCCTTCCTGGAGCGCACCCTGGCCGACACGGCGCCGGTGTCGGACCCGCGCACGCGGGGCCTGATGGAGGAGCTGCAGGCCCAGCTGATGGAGCAGCAACCGTACTCGCCCATGGACACTTCGGACTTGTCCTTCTGCGATTCTTCCTCGCCCTCCTCGCTCAACATGGGCCTGTCCGACCCGGGCCTGGACAACATGGAGTGGTTGGACCTCACCATGCCGCCAGGTCCCGCTGGGGCCCTCACACCGCTGGGCATCCCGACAGACTTCCTGGATACTCAAGACCTGCAGCTGCACTGGGACTGAGGGGGGAGGGAGGGATGACCACAAGGGGGAGGGTGCAGGGAGAGCAGCTGAGCCAGGAGCGAGGTTGGTGGATGAAGAAGATCCCTTTTCAAAGGTCGCAGAGAAGTTCCCACATTTTGTTAACAGAGAGAAGTGGCACTTTTCACTGGTGCATCCCAACCAGCTGCAATATTCACAGTAAACTACAGTGATTCAAGTTGAATTACAAGCAGGACTTTACACAGCTTTACAAGAGGGCCTCAAGTCCCCCAACAAGAGCCGCAACAAAGCTCACCGATCATATCAGTGATGGAGCCGTTCTCACAATACTAGAATACAATGTGTGATGTCGAGACGGAGCCAAATGAATTCACAGTGAAACAAAGGGCAGAGAGCCCGCATAGAGGTGATGCCGTTGTCTTACAGTGTGAATCTATTTTACTGTCACAGCCCGGCAACTAAGTATGAAAGGGTCGAGGGGGTGTGGCTGCTGCTCTCCTGGAGCATATTGCGCCGTCCCAGCCTATGAAAATGTGTCTCTGTAGAGGACCGACTACGTTGTAATTAAATTTATCTTCTTAATGAAAGCTGGCCTGAGGCTCGGTCTGGGACGTCCTGGCGTCTGTGCAGCCTCAGGGTTCCCTCACCGAGAGCAGACCCCATGCTGTACGTTGCACGTATGCCGACCGATCTGACACGGCGCATTAGATGCCGCTCCCCCCTCCTCTCCGCGATCGAGCCGGTGAACCTTTTTGACTCTAAAGCAACAACTTGGCTGGCGAGAGGAGGAAGCTCCCCCGCCCCGTGTGAGAGCTATGCACCTGAGAGGCGTCTTCACCCTCAGAACGAGCAAACTTTGCATATCCAGGCCGGTCGGGCTGCCACCGAGCGATCGGACCGTTGTGATCGAAGTCGAGATTGCGTCGACATTTTCCTCTAGAGATACCGCGGGTGTCCGAGTATCTCGTTTTGAATGTAATTTAGAAAAATGGGACTTTACTCAGAAAGTTGGCAGCTTTTTTTTTCTTTTTATAGTAAACTGATAAAACGGTGGAAAGGGAAATGTTTATGTGACACATCCAGAATAGTTCTATGGAGGAGATGAGCTTTATGTCTAGCTGTTCTACTTTCTTGTGTGTGTGCGTGTGCGTATGCGTGTGCGTGTGCGTGTCTGCGTCTGCATCGGTAACCCACAAATGATCTGGTTAGAATTTCTTGTAGCTGGGAAGTGAATCGGCTCATTGGTTGAGTGAATCAGACTCCTCTGAAGGGCGAATAGTTTAAAGTTCCAATTATTATGTTCACATTCCAAACCAACATTTTAACGCTGCACATTTTATTCCCTTCCGAATGTCTGGTGTTTCTGCACAGCTGCAGACAAAGGTGACAAACATTATTACTGCTGCTGATGAGTAGAATTCTATTCCAGTGGCATCTTACAAAGAACATGAAACACTTATTCAAGAGTTATTGACGTAATTGTTTCCAAAATGTTTGTTTCCAACAACATGTCATGTTGCCATTTTCACTGGGATCTAAAGCAATCTAATTAATTGGGTTATTGGAGCAGTAATCTCACAACACCAACAACATCTATACACCCCGACAATAAAAAATCTTTTACTCCTTTTTTTTTTTTTAAAAGACGCGACGACAGATAATTAAAGCTGTCCAAAACTTTAAAGGAGGAAAACGTTCAGTTCCCGTTCTGATAATGGCAAATCACTGTGTGTGTGTGTGTGTGTGTGTGTGTGTATTTTGTCTCCCTGTTTTTTGCATGTACACCTGTGACTCCGTGTGCACGATCGTATCCTTGTGAAACGTCTCAAGCTCCTCGTCCGTTGTCCACATCTTGTCTGAAGAAGTTGCATAATCGCTATGAAATTCAATCATTCTGTGGATTCTATTCTATTCCAAACTCTTCTCAAGGCTTCTGATGACTGTTTCCTGCTTCCATCTGTGTCCAAAACGCACCGCCGCCTTCCAGCAGCGACACATTGAAGAGGGCTTCGCTTCTTTTTAAAGCTCTTATCAATTCTGGATGATCATTTTTAACACATTGCTTCATATCAATCATGAATATTGAGTTACTGATCCGGCGTCTCGGTGAAGGATATTCATTTGGCTTTGATGCCGTCTCACTGTATAGCACTTTGAAATGAGATTTTATATTTCTTTTATTTTTTATGTGTTAATGGTGCACATGGACGTTAATGTGTCATTACGTCCATGTGCACTAGAGGGCGCTGCTGGTCTCCAGCACGCTCTTACAATCCGACCACATCGATGAGCTCAGACCCACAAACATTGGACTTGGCTTTGTTGTTTTACGGTTCTTTCTCGTATCAGATGACCGGCGCGTCTTGTGGTCGAGGACCCGGAGGATTCATGTGTACACTTTATTTTCCACCAGTCAACTTTAACGCTGACAAATCAGGAAATCTGTCACCAAAAAGACTGTGGAACATTTTATCTACTTTTGTTTTTCTCACGTTTTGTTTTGTTTTGGCCGGGGGAAAATGAAAAGAATGTGTAATCTTGCTTTCATTCCTGTAAAATCTGTAAAAATAAGGTGGGTTTTGTTTGTACATTTCGGTTGTGCAGAGTTGCGTCACTTTGTTCCGTATCAGACGTCTTGCTGCAGTAAATCGTGCTCCGTGTGACGGGGACCAACTAAAGCAATACTAGCTGCTCCATTCGAGGCCAACGCCCCCTCCTCCTCCGTCACCTCCGTCACCTCGGGGACTTTCACCGCATGTGACCCGACCTCGATAAGCCGCGCGTCACGTCGGCTCCGCCCTCCACGTGTTATTACTGTTGGAACCTTTTACTCCAGAGAAACACACTTTATAACTTCAGAAGCACTTCCCGTCGGAGTAGTTCGTTCCAATAAGCCTCCAAAGTCTGACGTTGGTGGAGGTTTCCTCTCGGCGTCTCCACCCAAGTAGTTGGAGTAAAACCGCCGTCGTCACGTAAACACTGAACATGTTGGTTGAGCAGACGAGGCGTTTGGTGACGGTCCGACTTTTCCATCGCTCGCTGCGTGTCTCCTGTCTAAGCCTCTCGTTGTCGGCATGCCGTATGTTTTGCACATTGTGTACATATTTCTATAGATGTAATGCATATTTTTCTACATGTGTAACATCCATGCGGTCTCTTTAATGTAAATACTCAAAGATGTATATAAGTGCTGTATGCCTTTCTGTGTCAATAAATCTGGTGTACTGTGAACACCTCTCCGATTAATGACGGAATAACACACATTTCTTACGCGATTGTGTCTGTATTTTTAAACAATTTTTGGCTCGTGAAGGCAGGCAGAGCATTAGAACTCTTTTGTCTGTGTATTTACACTGGCTCCTATTTGCATACAGTCAGCAAAGAATTTGCATTTACCTCCCCGTGGTTAATGGATATTTCTGGATATATATTTCCCTAATACCAAGGACAGCGTTCATAAAGCTCATTAGATTGTTGACAGAAAAGCCAGAAGGCCGTGTCCTAATTTCAGCAGGAAAAGGCCTCAATCCCTCACTTTGTAGCATCTTACGTTTACAGTTGGGTTTTCATGAACCATAAAGCTATTGAATGAGAAGTCCGGCTCGTGGGGAGAGTTTGTCAGTTTGGTTGCAGCCTGCACTCCAGATCTTAAGTCATCAGAGTCTTTGTGCAGGTTGCACCGGGGGGGGGGGGGACTCGACCACCGAGTCAACATCCCAGACACTCGACGGTCGCTGAATCACGCCAGCCAGGCGTCGTGATCCACGCTATCACGCCGGGGCCTGTTGACGTGGCGACCTCCATGTCAAAATGGCGTGTGGGTGTGTATCTCCGCGTGGCACTTGGGACACTGGTGCTGGATCGTACTCAGGCGGCTCATGCAGAAAGGGATTAAACAGCAGCCTGCGACACACCTGGGGGGGGGAAGAGGATGCAACGGTGTCATGGATCTCAGCAACTGGTTTGCCTCAAACATCTGCTTCCTTTACACAGCCAGTGATACCAGTTGCACAGCGAATGTTCTTTGTTTGACCCCTGCGGCCCTAAAGAGACTCACCCTGAGAGGACGCACAGGAAGCAGACGAGCCACTTGCCCTCGCCGACTTTGCTTCTGGTTTCCGTGAGGACGACCTCGTCACAGGACGGACACTTGGTGACCGCTGCGGTTTGACTGAGAAGGCCCACTTTTTCCAAAAGAGAGAGACGGAGAAGAAGTGTTTAGCGGCCAGATGTAGACGACACAGGTATGACAAATAAACTAACTTTTTATTGCATACTTTGACTTGTGTTTTGTTTGACATTTCCATGACACACACTGACATATTTGCGACGTTTTATGTCATACTAAAATGTTACATTTTAATGTCATGATGTCAGGTTTTGGTCAGTGCCGGTTAAAATAGATCAATTAATCAATAATTCTCAAGTCTAATAACTTATAGGACCAGTAAATTAGGTTGAAAATATTTATAGAACCGTGTGTCAAAAAAGTATTGTATGTACTACTGTATGTTTGAAAAGGTCAGTATAAAAAGGTTATTGTAACATACATGGTACAGTATGTCAGAATTAGCGCAAAGAAAATTCATACACTATTATGTCGATGTATTGAGTTGAAAGAAGTAAACAAAAGTCAAATGTCACAATGTAAGTCGTGGTCAAATTTAGAAAATCCAGCATGTCATGTCAAACAACATGAATAAAATATTCCATAGTTTTACAACACACGGTATAAAAAGTCCCTTTCTACATCATTGTTTTCAATCCCCCCACACGCAGCTCTGCACGACCCGTTTCAATCGTTACATGTGTACATGCGTGTAACTCACCTGGAACGACGTCTGCTACAGTCCGAACCTTCCCCCTGTCTTCCAGTGTAACTTCCCCCGGAGTCGGCTGGGGAGGCGGAAGGGTGTAGACCCCCCCACGGGGGGTCTCGGTTTTATACAGAGCGGGACTGGGGGCTTGTTGACCTGATTTCAATCTGTGTTTCTCCAACTCTCTGCTGACCAGCAGCTCGTCGAGCTCCTTCTGGACGGCCTCCAGCTCACACAGCTGGCCGCTGTCCTCCAAGGCCCCCGGCAACGACTCGCTGGCCCCCGGCGACGACTCGCTGGCCCCTTTACGACGACACACAGGGAGAACAAGGTAACAAACTTCAACGGATCAAGCTTGCCACGGTACCAGATACTCTTTTTTTAAGTATTGCGTTGGTTTATCAAAAGGCCCGAAACTGACTAAATGTGGCAAAACCTTAGAAATGTGGCAATGAATAATATTGAAAAAGCAAATAACTAAGATGAAGGGTAAAAGATCTTCTATAATATAATATGATTATTATTTTATCAACTAAATGCTAATGACATTTTTTTCAACTTTGATATATTTGTTAGATATGGCTAGCAGATAAACCCGTTGAATTGTTATTTATTTTACCGGTTAGGCGTGAAAAGAAAAGCACCATGTTTTATATTTATTTTTACATTTCCAGTTTGAAGTTCTCTGAGTGACAGAGGAGGCCGAGATGTTTTCTCCTCTGGTTATTGTTTTTACAAATACATTTTTAATTGAGTACAACGAACCTCATTTAGATATAAAAAAAAAATGGCAATAACATGATTTGACATCTGCGTCGATGAGCCGGATCTACATTACGTGCTCATTCCAGTGGAGCGATTCAACGACTCACCTGTGCTCCTGTGTCTCTCCGTCTTCTTCATGAAGCGCTGCATCTCCATCAGAAGAAAATGCCGGTTCTGCAGCTCCTTAATGCGGAACTCCATGTCGTTCGGTGGTTGGGGCCCGTTGGATGTCCCCGAGGCCCCCTGGTTGGACTGGGTGGTGTCGGGTTCGGGGTGCTCGGTTATCGGCCCCGAACTAACGTCTGTGTGGATCCCGGAGCTGTGCAGCTCGTCGTCGCAGTACATCCTGCTTTAGAGACCCGATCAAGGCGTTTTCTGACTCCCCGAGGTGATCGTAAGCAGTAAAAAGTGATCGAAACCAGAGCTGCTGCAGGCTGGAGTCCGTCCGGGGACGTTTAGGAGGATTCATGCACAAACAGATGATGCTATAAAACATGCAAATGTGGTCAGTGTGTCGCAACAGCAGGACAATGGACAGTAGGTGTTAACCGTCATCATTTTACTCTTGTTATGTTGCACAACATTTTTAAGCAGAATTTTAAAACCATTTTAATTGGTGCATATTTCTACATCCCTTCAGTTAGCAACCAAACACAACTTTCTTCAATCAGCTCCTTCGTTCTGAACTTTTTTTCGAACCTGTGAAATCGTTATGAGCTGTAAAACTGAAACAAAGAGCTTAAATAGGCCACAATTCTCTGTAGAGCTGAGGGGAAGTGGAGAGTCGCACGATGGTTCATCACTACTAGCAAACCCTTTCACATTACATTCAGACAAATGTAATATCCATCAGTGCCGCTTTAAGAAAACAAAAACAGCGTACGATGAGTACCTCAACGTAACGTTTAACCCGAACATTCCTTTTCTTTCCCAATCAAACACCCTCGAAAAGAATGTGGTTGTTATGCTGATAAAGCTGAGTTCAAAGGTCACAGCCAATCAATGCGCAGTTGTCCCCACGTGAGAGTCGCCTGTGGCATCAACAACGGCTGCAGCCGCAAGGTAGCATCCACAGAGCAGATGATGTCCGGCCTACTACACACACACACACACACACACACACACACGATCCCTGCGTGCTCTCACATCGGCCTTTTTGAAAATTACAACCAACAGCCTGTAAGCCTGTAACACCCATGCAGATTAGTTCATTTCAGGGGCCTTATCTGACCTCCAATGTTTCTCTTTTTTTTTTTATTCTTTCCGTTTCTACGCCACTAGATGTCAGTCTCCTACGGGCCACCAGAGCATTGTGTCTTTAGTGTGCGGTGGCAGAACTCGATCCAGCCATCGACCCATCGGTGCCTTCGTTCACCCCTCTGTGCTTCTGCCCGCCTGAAATATTCAGGAGCCGCGGCTGGATACACGGCTGCCGTCTTCTATTTCAGCCTCTCTTCATACACACTCACTCTGCACTCCCAACCTGCGCCCTGCCATAGACACACACACACACACACACACACACTATCATTCAGCTGCTTATGTATTGGTGCGTGCATGAGTGTGTGTGTGTGTGTGTGTGGTTTAGATGCACACAGATCAAGTGACAGTAAAGTATGTGTGTGAGCACCACCTGTCCGGGTGTCACGTGGGGCAAGACTACAAACATTAACCGTCAAACCACGTCATTCTAAAGCAGGCAGGGCGAGTTAACAACACAAGAGCCAGACGAGCAGAGACACGGAAACAGAGGATGGTCTTCGGCTTCTGAGTTGACATGTAAATAGTATCAAGCGGCAGCTGTAGTGCAATGAGTACGATCCAATACTGTAAATGAGTACATGACAGAACCCTGATAAAACAGTCCTCTCGGACTCCTCACAGACGACTGCTTACATAAGTGTATTGATTTAATCTTTCACCATAAATGCCACGATACCTTCGGTGCACTGAGGTCAGCGCGTGTTTACCGGCTGTATTTTTACTGTCTGCAACAGACGATGCAGACGGTCCAGTGTGTCCATTAGGCAACATCTAGCACTGTGTTGCTTCCTCCCAGAGGACGCTTCGCTGGTGTTGACATACAGGGGGGATTGCGTCATGCCTGGATCAGTGTGTTTGTGTGTGTGTTGAAGTATTCCTACACTTACTAAACTAGAACTTTTATGTTGAGGATGTCTTTCAAATTACAATTTTAAACATTTACAACACTGTGCAAAGGACACATCTTACTATTATCTGCTTCATTGCAGCAGCACATGTACTTCACGTCATAACTCGTGCTCGGGCTCAACATCAGCATCATGTTTAGATAAGATGTGACGAAAGTCCTCAAGCTCATGAGCGTGTGTGTGGATCTTCTCTTTTTGAACCTTTGTTAGAGCCACTTCCTGTGCAGCCGCCGGACTCTCATTGTGACACAAACGCACACTCACAGCAGTTGGTTTAACTGAACGGCAGCAATGATGTCATCAAACTGGGACAGTTTTTTTCCTCTTCTTTTTTTTTTTTTCACCCGGCAGAACAGGCGAGATCACTGCACCATTCAGGCTGGGGGGGGGGGGGGGGTGTCAGGCACGATGCCAGCATGCAGGTCCAATGTGAAAAACGATGCAGCCGCAGCGACAAGCGAGAGAGGATGGATCCAGTTCTGCATCAGAGACACTACATCACTTTCCTCACAGACGTCTATCTGCACACGAGTGATGTTCACACGCACACCCGTGCTGTAAATCATCCGTCGCCACGGGAGCGTTGCGTAACGGAGCGTCTGTGAAAATCTCTGTGCAGCAGCAATCGGCTGTAAAAATGGAAAACTACACGAAAGCCGCACGGCACCTCGTTGTCGCGGCTCGGAACGCAGCACGACAAGGACGGATCACCAATAGTTCCTCCCCGCGGGGGGGCCACTCGTTTGTCTCAGGTGGATTGACCTGTCAACACACCTGCACTCACATCTGCTGGCATCGTCACCTGTTAAGGCCCCGCTGAGGAGCCAGATGGAGCGTTTGAACATGCGTGCATCGGCAACACGGTGACCAGCAGGCGAACACAACGTCCTGCAAGATGTGCACAATTCCTTCAGCCACGGAATATCTCAACATCTCGTACCTTTTGTCGGTTCATGGTGACGATGCATTTGCCGACCTTTCTGCCGGATGCACCACGAAAGCTATTCTCCTTCTTCTGCATCGCTATTCAAATCTTTACTTTAAGTGTGGAAGTTGTTAGCTGCATGTTTGCAAACACCCGCTTATAGGCGGTCTCTGTCTTTGCATCGTTTGTGTGCTCGCGGTGATGGTCTGATTCCCCGGAGGGATCATTAATGTTTCATCTGATCTAATCAAACTCCTGCTGTCGCCACAGAGTCAAGACGCCGGCACGGATCTGCAGGGCAGAGTTGACACAGAAGATCATGTTTTGAAGTAAAGCAGCGATAAGATCATACTGAGTCGTAGAAGTGTGTGTGTGTGAAGACGGGAGAATGGAAATATGCCATCGTGTCCGTTTGCCAGCTCATGGTTCACTTTAAGGGATTTCCAGATGCTTCGTGGAGTAGATGTGAAACACGGAGGGTTAACAGCCACATTCTCCTCCTCCTGCGCCTGCGATGTCCTGCAGTGTAACAACATGCTCATTCTCCTGTAAAACAGGTTTTATTATCCTGTGTCTTTTGAAAATCTCTTTTCCCCACATTCTCTCTGTGAGGCCGGGAAACGGTTACAGACGGACGGAAAGTGAGAACAAAAAGATCTCGTGCATGTCGGCGAAGGGGAAGTGAAATTGAGTGCAACCCTTTGATTCATAATGTTTTCACGAGGGCCGTCTGACCTGTTCAGACACACACACACACCCACCTATGGCCTCAGTGATGCTATGTTGACATGCACACACAGCAGACCATGTTACTTCCCAACATAACATGGCAAACATTAAACAACACACGTGTGTCTCTGTAACTTCCCCTGGTGGTTTCAGATTCAGAACACACACACAACTACCCCACTCCTAGTCTATGTGTAATGTGTTGTTTTAGTACTGCTGTGTGTGTGTGTGTGCGCGCGCCTGAGGTGGCTGCTAAGTCTGGTGCTAATGCGTCCAGCCAGGCAGCACTGATACAACAGTGAGCGCAAAGATAAAGTCGGCTTTGTGCCCGACTCAGGAGCTCGGCTGCAGAGGGGCTGAAATGGCACACAGCCATTGTTCCAGGGTCACTGCGGACACACACACCAATTGCCACACAGTTTAAGGTCAGTGAATAATTGCCACACTGTCTTTAGGAGACATTCATATAATTACTGGAAAACAAACGTTCAACGACGGATGGAGCTGCACTGTTTTTTGATGAATTGAAGTTAAAACAGCACAGACATATTATCACTATTTGGAAAGTTAAAACAAGGCAGCGCTGATCAAATCTAGCCATCTTCTAAATACATTTAAATATAGCCTTCTTAAGTGTCCTCTCCTTTGACTACAGAAAATACATAACGTTTAAATTAAGGCCAGGGGACCTGAAGCAGCGAGCCCATATGAACGCTGACCTGTGGAGGGAGACGATCGGTGAGGCTGCTTTGTGTCCAACGCCCAGAACAGCATCTACATCTACGACAGCACAATAATTGTGCTTCTCGATTCTCCTTAATTTACGGCTTTTATCAACTGAACTGAGTTCTGCAAAATAACATCAACACAAAAGAAAGTGATCCCCCCACACACACACACACGGACTTTGTACTCTATCTTGTTGACTGTATTCACTTGGCTGGCTGAGATGTAGCCAAGCGGGATATTATGATGTAGCCATCGTCCCACGGTCAATATTTAACAGTGTCCTGGTGTCTCCAGTTCTCACACACACAGACACACACACACACGATCAATCGACCGTAGAGCCAATATTCCCACACTGCATTTAGGTTGACATACAATATTTATTAAGGTTCACAAAAATGATAAGTTAATTATCAGGTAGTCCACAAATATTGTGGGAATGGTCTCATACAGTCATACAAGTGGGGAAACATACATGAGAATCCATTTAGGAACAGGCCCACCCAGAAACGCGTGATTTAACCAAATAAAGTATGAAGCATGAAAACTCGAACATCAGTTTAGTCTAAATAAAAAAAGGAAGTTGCTTGTTCATTGTTAATTACCAACTTGGTAGTTTCAATTGAAGAAAGGGCCCCTTGGCTATTCAAAATATCTCTTCTTACACTCTGTTGTATCCAAGGAAAAAAGAACCCAAACAGGACCAACTAATAGAGGGGCCGACCTAGTATTAAAAATATTGCCATACATCAGGTTCATTCCTAATTGTTGAAAAAGACCCTCTGCAGTAAAGTATCTAAAAGTGTCACCAAATAGCCCACCTGGGGCTTCCCCTCACACATTTGTTTCTCCCAACAAGACACTTATTTTCACTTTTCATTTTCTGTCCATTTTCATCCATCGAGAAACTGCTGATTTGACTTGTTTGCGTCTATATTAGCATCGAGAATGAGACCTCCCACCCACCCCCAATAAACATGTCTCGGCCTCATGTATGTTTTCTACAAAAGAAGCTATGAACACATCATGCGGAGTGACAAAGATGGAGTAGTCATGTTTTTTTTCTTTTAAACCTACAGCATTTTAGATGCTTTTGATTCACTTGTCAAAAAAAGCAAAAGGTCAACCTGAAGTCCCGCCCATTTTCAAAGCCCCGCCCATAACCTTTCAACAAAAACAGAACAATTAGCATTACAAACAATATCATACAAACCATGATTGCTCTTTTTTTCTTGTGATAACCCGAATATAAAAAAAGTGTACAGTGGATTTGTTGTCTGAGTCCAGGTTTAAAACTGTATCAGGAAGCCGTTGCTGCTAAGACCAGTGAGCGTAAACCAGAGTGGCTGCTGCCTTTAAGAAAAACAAAAAGAACTTTTAAAAACATGTCCTGTGGCAGCAACAGTTGGTTTTAGAAGAATCCCTGATAGGCTGAAAGAAGTCAGGTGACCACCAGGTGAGGTAAGAAAAGTCCCAACCGTGACGATGGGAATGACGGTATAGAGGCGTTTCCTCTAAACACGAATGTGTGGGTGTTTGGGTCTGCATGTGTGTGTGTATGTGTATATATATACACACACATACATGCATATGTATGTATATATATGCATATGTATGTATATATATGCATACTAACGCACATATATATATATAAAATGTATGCATGTTTTATTACAAACTAATCACCCGCTCACATGCGCGCGCACTCACTGAAGTGCGTGTTGATTTCGGAGTCGAGTCTCAAACACGTTGCAGGTTCCTTTCTCCTCATGCAGAACAGACAGTTGCAGAAACACAGAACACCAGTGGCAAAAAACACTGGGGGGGGTGGGGAGGGGGGGCGTAACTAAACAGAAAAATAAAATTAAGTTTGCTGCCTTGAATGTCCTTGAACATCACATAGAATCCTTGGGCGTGACAAATGATTTTTTTTCATTTTTGTTCCTGTTATTTTTCAATAATATGTTCTTATCTATGCATTGACTTAGGAAAAGCTAACAAATATTTCAGTTGCTCTCTTATTACTATGTGTGTGCGTATCTTTTCTTTAATATATATTTGTATCAACATTTGCATTGGTTTTCTCCTCTTCTTAATCCGTCCTCATTGAGTTTTCTTGGTTTACGTAGTTTCCATCTTTTAGAAATCCATCCTTCTTTTGGGGGAAAAAAAGACCAAAACCCCTTCTAACCCATCATCATCATCATCATCTCCCACCCTAAGCCCCCGCCCCTCCCTCGGGGGGGTTGGAGGGGCCGTCTAGTCCCGTGCTGCCCCTTCATCTCTCGGCCTCCATCGCTACGCTAGCCTTTTGCTCGGCGCCTGCGTGGGGGTTCACGCCCATCGGCCACACGGGGCAGGGCTGCGTGGGGGGCTGCCCGTGAGTCCAGAGTCCCTGTGGAGGTTGCGGCACGTTAGGTAGGTTCGGTGAGACCCCCCAGCCGCAGACCTGGGGGGGCGGGGGGGAGGTGGCCATGGAGGCGGCCATGGGACTTCCGCCGCCGCCGTTGAAGCTCTCGGACGCCCTCAGCCTGGAGAACATGGTCAACGCGTCGGGGAAGTTGGGGGGCGTCGCTGGTGTGTTGGCTGGGGTGCACATCTGGGAGGGACGAGGAGGGAGAGTGATTGTTATTAAGTTGCACACTCTTCACTTCTACAATCACCCACTTGGGCTGAAGAGATTAAATCAACCGACCGACAGGAAATGTGTAGTTTAGACAAGTGATTAAACAAAAGTAGTCTTTCAAGGTTCACCGGACACATATTTTAACACTGGCTAGTTTTCTTGGGCATCTATGAAAATATCTTGAATATCTTTGGGTTTTGGACTGTCAATCGGCCCAAAACAAGCAAGAAGATGAAGGGTGAGACTCTGGTAAACTAACCCACAACTTCCCTGTGTGATCAATCCACAGATTAGTTAATAATGAGAATAATAATTAGTTGGGAGAATGATTTTCTACAGCCAACATGTCTGCTTTCGGCTGTGTGTTTTAGTGAACTGTAGTTCGTATCAGTTGAGACATTTTGAGGGAACTTTTGCTCTTTTACAGCAGAATAACACCCAAACAGCGCTGAAACGGCAGGTTATCTTCAAAGAAATGTGCCACAGGCCACAAACTATTAGTTCAACAATATACATATCATGGGATAAAGGGAGTTTGGAGCAGTGTTTAAGAAGCAGATTTCACTTTAAAAGGAACATAAAAGTTCTGTTCAACAGGCTGGGAATTTAGGGGAATCCCAGCTACTCTGCTTCCCCAGCAGACAACGCGAGTCTTTGTTTACGTCCACTTCCTGTTCCAAATGTTATATGAAATTCAATCTGATTCAACCGACCAGATAAAGAACGCGCACATATGTGCCAAAAACAACACTGCGCTTAGAAGACCATGTGAATAACATGTTTGGCTGCTCAGAAATAGTAAGACTTCGTGCTCCTCCTTTGAAAAACAACTGCATGGCTGCTTCCTTCATGTCCCGGTCCGCTTGTCACCAGGAAAACAACAACCTGCTGTTTTCACGTTTCCACGTATCAACCAGGAGGCTTGTCGTCTGAAAAGAATCGCCCGGGCTGAGAGGTTAACAGGGGAGGCTCTACAGGACTGTGACCCCAAATCAGCAGGCAGCAACGGTTCAGGTACAAGAACCGGAATGACAGAATCCCACCTCGAACCCGATTGATTATCCATCTATCGTGCCGTCTGCCTGCCCAAACGTACACGTCATGTCAGGATAAATACGAGATACTTTCAGGGGGCGGGGGAGGGTTGGGGGAGGAGAGGGGGCATTTCCTGGAAGTGGGAGTCAAGTAAGCGGGCAACAGCAGCTGCAAGTACACGAGTACTGGACCAAAAATATGTCCACATGCTGCAAGGGGCAAAAGTAAAACTACAGTTTCCCGACCGACGAGCGGGACTCATTTCCACGGCTCCCTTTTGGTACCGGGCTCTGTTCTGTTTTCCACTGTGTATTGTTGGTGTAATTGGTCACGGCTGTCACTTTTTAAATATGTTCTCCAGCGAATAGGGAAATGATTTAGGGCGGCACGGCCATCTGACCATGTGGGTTTGTGGCAGCATCTCCGCTGAGCTCTGTGACGATCCTCTCGGACCGACCGGAGGTTCTGCCGTGTCTCAACTTCATCTCACTCGCCACCCAGACTGGGTGGTACTGAAAAAAAGTAACAGGTATCATCTACAACTCCGGCCCCAAAAGCAGCCTGGATGAGTAGGGGCGTGGCCGCGGGTAGGAAAGGCAGCACGATGTACCCTTTGGGCTCCGGATGCTCGGATTGTGAAACGCAGCCCGAGTAGAACACAACAGCGTGCAGGAACACCACCCCTCCCTTGAGGGGGTGTAATCGGACCGCCGTGTCCCCTAAAAGTGCTGCGGCGTGCGATCAGCCCTCCGCTTACAGTGCGGAGCCGGGCCGAGTAGGGGCTCCTCGGGGCGGCACGCGGTCGTGAAAGCGGAGCGCGCCGCTCCGCATGGCGACAGGAAACGCCAGGCTCGTGTTTCCGAGGCGGCTTCCTGCGGTGAAGAGGCGCTCTGCGGCTGAGGTGACCTCCGTGACTCGCTCGGTTCTTGGCGAGCGGCGTTTGGGTTTCCTAAACCTGACGACCAGCTAAGGGCAGAAAAACCGTAGACAAGCTGCACCGAATAGCCGGTATGAATTTACGCCTGCGGCCCATTTCACTTTCTTTTTTGGGCTCTTGCTTCACAGTCATCGGTGACTCAAACAGGAAGGATGTGACGCGGACCACAAAGCAAACTTTGAACACCGTGTATCTCCTCTCACACTCCTAGTTATTAAATAACACAACACACCTCCAAGTGTCTGCAAGCAGTGTGTGTGTGTGTGTGTGTGCTTAGGGGACCTTGGACAGAGTCACAGACGGTATCAAAGGGGACCTGAAGAGGATCTGGTCCAAAGAAAACACTGTCTGGGTTTGGATCTCAGCGCTTTTCGGACACCAGGTCTGATAAACTGACCTCACACCTCCCAGCGTGCATCTAACGATGATCCACGTTTGCAAAGAAACACTTACACAAATACGGAAAATGTCCTCTGCCGCTTTTTAAAATCAAAGCATGTGACCCGGGTGTTGCGTTATAAGTAAAATCCTCTTGTGGTTTCCTGCACAGAGACTAAAGCCAAGTTTGTGTGTATTGAGACCAGTTGCAGATCAACTGATGTGCTGGGACCAGAGCATAGAGAGAGAAGTGGACATAATGTGCGAGGCGTGGCCCTTGGTTTTCTATGAAAGTTGCTTAACGGTTCCTGAAGCAAAATAAATCGACTTCCTGGTAAAAGATTAAAATAAAGCCGGATGTTCTTCTGATTTTCCACGTTCATGGGGCCCACTGGTGTGGCGAAATAACTGTGGATTCAGCTGAAGGGACATTTTCCTGGGTGCTTGTTACTTATTACCTAAAATATTTTGGATCTGATTTACCTGCATTCACAATCATTCCCACACAATAGTCCCTCAGTCCCTTCAGGGACCCTATTATCATGTCAAGGACCCAGAAAGAGTCATTTCCTTGGTTCGCCCACTACTTAAAATTGGCTCCAAAGCCTAGCGCAATGTTTACGTGTGCACATAAACATGTGTGTGAACAGAAGGTGTAACGCTGTGTCACGAGTAGCTCACTTAAAGGAAGCAGGTGGAGCAGGAAGCAGGTGGAGGTTCCATGTGCTGTCTACATGAAATAAGTAATACGTTTCACTTTATGTTCAACTGGCCTTTTAACTAACTTAAGATACTCAGTAATAGAAGTATGGATGATGTACAATGAGTGAGTGCTGTCGGGGATGAGACATTAGAATTAGTCACAAATAGTGCAAGTGATAAAAAATAATCAAACCGTCTTTTGTTATAAATTGAACTAATCTCATGTCTTTCTAATTTGTAATAAAACATGACAACATAATAAAAAATGAAATGTTGCATGAAATCAAGTCTGACTCAGAAACAATAAAAAACGATTAAGGCAAATAATAAGCCGGCGAGATTACAAGGAGTTTGACTCAGCTTCGCTCGCCACACTCAATTACATTTGCGCAACATCGGCTAAATATACAGTGATTGGGCAAGAAAAACTACTGTTTATTCTGAGGATTCGTGCAATTCAGTAGAACGCCAGAGGTCTTCTGAGGGGAACTTGTGTTTAAATAAAGGGCACCGTGACACACTAGATTGTTTCCAAAATACTCGGGAGTTGTAATCTGAGAAGAGTCGGCTGGGTAACAGAAACAAACGGCTGTGGATAATTAAAGATCCTGCGTGATCATCTTAGAGAAAAAGCAGTTGTGCAAATGTAGCGCCATGTGGTTCCCGCAGAAAGAAATCTACGTTCCGAGACGGGCAGGCGTTTATTGAGCACCTTCTGAATGACGGACACAGAGGAGTGTGTGGGTGTAGTAGCGTTTTATCCACGACATGGAGACAGATGGAGAGACCGGTGGGAGTAAAAGACAGTGAGAGCAAGTCAAAAGAGAGCCAGCTGAGAGGCATCGCCATGGCGACTGTTGTTATGAGGAAGGAGTGAAGATGTACTAGCTCTGTGGTCACATGGGGCCTGCAGCGAGGCGCCACAAACCTCCAACACTCCTCCGTTTGTGTACATACGTGTGTGTTTATACACAAACACAGATGAGCTGGTGTTATTAAGTCTAACCGACTACATTCCTCAGAAACATTAAGTGCAGACCAAAAAAAGAAAAAACGTACTCTTTCATCCGCTTGCATACCTGTGCAGAGGCTCCGGTTACGTCCCGTGACCTTGACCGACCCCCTCTCCCCCGTGTAGCGTTTACCTCGGTGCTCCTCCACCACGCGCACGTCCCGACTCGCCTTCATCCGTCAGGATGTTTCGCCCCCTCGTTCAGAGGAATTCATAGACATGCTTTTGTTTTCCTTTTTAAAACTTCACGATGTTGAAAAGCCCAAATTGGTCCACCACACCTCAATATCATTCGTTCTCTCACTGAAGAGAGACGTGTGACACCGGAGGATGGCGGTGAAGAACTCGGTGGTCAGTGTGGCGCACGCATGTTGTACGACGTCTCTCCACCACGGATCTGACGGCACGCAACTCCACCCGTGTTTTGTCATTTTCTGTAATTTGAGAAAACTACCATATGTGGAGTTTGGGTCTTGCGCAAAAAAAAAAAAACGTCCGTCCGCCGGCAAAACTGCAAAAACAAAGCCGGAGTCTGTGGATTGACGGCTCGGCGGCTGTGGCCGAGACGCCGGGCGCCCGTCTTCAGTCTGGCGAACCGATTTATTGGATTTGATTAGAGGCGGATTTGGGAGAAGCCGGAGCCACAGCTCCACAACGCATTCTACTTGCTCTATGACATGCGATCACCATCGCCTCGGAGGTCTCCCTCGCTTCTCCTCCGCTGGTGTCGTCGGAAAACAGACCTCGAAGAGGCACTTAGTCCAACCGTTCCGCTGACACCGAGGCTATTCATTTACGGGCAGCTGTTACAGTGCTGAAGAGGAAGACCACATCTGATCAGAGCAGCTCGAAGCGGACGGCCGATACAAACTATGAACGCACCTTTTAACTGCCGTTAAGTGCGTTTGA